TACACCACCGAACAAAGTTTAGCACCCTTCCTAAACCCCAACGTACAGACACACACACACTCTCTCACAGGGGTTAATTAAGAGTGCATTGATCATCTTGCCGCCGGCTCTTCCTCCTGCATTAGGCTGATCAATATATGTGATTTCACACATACACTCACACCGAGGGCAACAGGGAGGTCAGTCAGACAACCAAGCAAACAAGCTACTTCCCTAGTTCTGTTTCAGACATCTATCAAAATCATATTTCTATGTGATGGCAAATAAAAGTTGTAAACCCACAATGCTCAGCTTTAATAGTGATACATGTTTATCAGAGTGATGGGGGAAAAGCATCACATGTTTGGTCTTAAATAATGAAGAAAACATGTTTAAGTCAATTAGTGACTTGTGTTACTTGATTGTGTGCCTCACATTTAAAATTTAAGATGATAAAATGGGAATAATATACATTACCATTCAAAAAGTTTCTTTTTTAAAGAAGTCAATACTTTTATTCATCAAGGACGCATTAAATTGATCAAAGGTGACAGAATAGGCTTCTCTTTATGAATAAATGCTGTTCTTTTGAACTTTTTATTCATCAAAGAGTCCTGAAAAAATGCTTTAATGATTTGCAATTAAGCAGCACATATGTTTTCAACATTGATAATAATAAAAAAATATGAGACCAAATCAGAATGATTTCTGAAGGATCGTGTGACTCTGAAGACTAGAGCAATGATATTTATTTTAAATTGTAATAATATTTCACAGTATTACTGTTTCTACTGTATTTCTGATCAAATAAATGCAACCTTGGCGAGCATTTAAGATACTTCTTTCAAAAACATTAAATCTTTGAACAGTAGTGTATGGAATAAAAATGTCTAGAATTAAATGTGTAGTATAAATGTGATCAAAAGTATCAGTGTACATGTATTCATAAAACTAACAGATTAGACTTTTTTTTCAAATCACATGAAACCGTACTGTAAATGCAAATATTGAACTCAAAACCAATCTGAAATAATTGCAGACATGCCCATAAGAAACAAGGGGAACATTGTTGAAAACAAAAAGTTACTGCAAGGAAGCCTTTTACACTAATGCAAATAATATTCCAAATGCCTTGTAACACATGGTCTAGCATTATCATCATCATCAAAAAAAGAAAAAAGGATTAGTTACAACAATATTAATAATGTTGATGTGAATCATTTACCCTGCCGGTCATCTTGCTTATGATGTTGAGAGTGTTGCCAGCTTTAAAGGCGTACTGTAAGGGTTTACATCAAAAACCCTGTTTGTGCTTTTGCTTCCCTTAAGGGGTTTCCGTGACTGTGCACAACTCTGCAGTAAAACAAGACGTAGGACTTCATTTAGATTCTAGTCTTTTTGTGTTTGACTTATCATAATTAAATGTCCCCAAAATAAATATAAAGGCTACTTTCAGTGGTCACCCAAACCGGTTTTTCTTGACCTGACCCTGAACACTGAGCAGTAAACGTCCTTTCCACTCTAATTTGACATTCATTTGCATTGTCGCTGACATAACTTCTCAAGGTGACCCAATGCAGTCCACGGCTCTGAACAAACCTCCCAAGAAACCATCTGTTCAGTTCTCATGATCAAGTATGTTTCCTGAAGTCTGATAAATAAAATGCCATGAATAATTGTGAGGAAAGGTATTTTGAATTTCATTTTACATTTCACCACGTTTATTTGTTCGTTTGACACCCAAGATCATATTAGATTTTTGCATTTTGATTTGTAAACCCATGTTCACTTTCTTTCTTTAACTGGACATATGCTTAATATTTCTCTACACATTTGACATAAATTCAGGGTAATTTCTTGGAAATGAAGAAAAACTCATTTAAAAGATCATCTTTTTCATTTTCATTTTTAATAGCACATGCTTGCCATTGAAAAAGGTCTCTTCTTGTGTAATTCATACCTAGAAAAATGTATCATCAATTGCTTAATGTAATAACTGAAATTACAAATCCAATTCAAATAACAAACAAATAAACAACTAATATTACTCATTTGAATAAAACAATTGTTACAAAAGGGTTAAAAATTAAGAGTTTCTTATTGAATAATTACTGGTTTGGAATCATTCTGGATATACTAGTGTGAGATCATATATGCTTTTAATATTTTCAGCCTTTATTCTTCTTATACTGTGTAACATATAATCATAGTTTTATATGCAAGGCTGAACTACCTCCAATGTTACTGTTAAGTACTGATAAACAAGTACATGGTGCACCCTGGAACTGGGAAGTATGCCAATGCTTGAGCAGGCAGAGAGGGAGATATACACTCTTAAAAATAAAGGTGCTTCACGATGCCATAGAAGAACCTTTTTGTCTAAATGGTTTGTGATTTCTGTGTTCTTGGCCACTTGGCCACTTCTCATCTGACACTTGACTAGTAAGCGACATTAATAGACTCTTCATCTCCACCCCGGACTCCCTGTCTCTTCATTCATGATCCGACACTAGCTACAAGGCCCAGCCTAAATTAGTGCATTTGTAAATTAAAAACAAAGTTATAAATGACAGTTCTTCATTCTTTGCCGATAATATCCACGGGACAGTATTATATCTTATTATTATTTACCAAATATTTCTTTGAAATGTCAAAAAAAAAAAAAAAAAAATCTGTATAATATATCACATCTCTTTTGTTATCCCATATCATTTTGTCATGTCTAAAATGTAACATTCATCAACAAAAACATATTTCCTTATCATAATCTGTAAAAAAAAAATAAAATACAATTGCTACCATCTGTTCTACTTTGTTTGATTATTATTTTTGGACTGATATCTGGAAACGTCATTTTCCTGTAGCTGATGTGACGCAGCACTGAAACCGTTGTTTTCTACTTTGCATAAATTTCACATCAAACACATTAAATAGGTTACATAAGACAAGCTCAAAATAATCTACTGGGTCATCAGAGAATCAGAAGTGAAGCAGATGCTATGATCAGTTTTGCGCCCCCTCCCTCTGAGTCCCGCTGTATGCGGTGACCTTCTGAACGAGATGGGGCAGAAGAGAGACACTAATTGTTTCCCCTAATTGTGAGCCTGAGGGGTAACAGAAAGAGAAATCAGGAAGAGAGGGGAGGGGAGGTACTAAGCAAGTTAAGTTCACATATGGTCAGTTCTGACGTAGCATGATTTAACGTAGAAAGTAGAGGCTTTCTCGTTATCTTTACCATTTCAAAAACTATCAACTTAGAATAAAAAGTTCATAAAGCCAGCAAAGTTAAAAGAATAGTCCATATGCACTTAATTTCCACTCTCCTTTTTTTCTTTCTTTCTTTCTTTCTAAAAAAGGCAAAAATCTGGGTTACAGTGAGGCACTTACATTGAAAGCTAATCCAGCCAATTCGTAAGCATTATAATACTCACAGTTTCAATAGTGTAGCCACAATACATATACAATATGATTTCAAAATGAAAAATAGCTTACTAACCTTTTTTTGTGTTAGGCTTGTGTATATTCAATTTTATTTGGGTGCAGATTTCTTGCATAATAATGTAAACCTTAAAACAACCATAAAAGTAATGTTTTAAATGGATATTTGTTAACACTTTACAATAAGGCCCCATTAGTTAATGTTAGTTAATGCATTAACCAATATGATCTAACAATGAGCAGTACATTTGTTACAGTATTTTAAAATCTTTTTACAAATAGTTCATGTCAGTTCGTGTCAGCTCAGGTCCATCAGATAATCATATATAATGCATTAGCAAATTTTGGAATTAATGAACTAGATTAATAAAGGCTTTAGAAGTATTTATCATTGTTAGTACATGTTAACTAATGTAGTTATCTAAAGTTAACAAAATGGAGTATTGTTAAGTGTTACCAGATATTTTAACCAAAAATTAAAATTCTCATAATTTATGCACACCTGTGTCATTCCAAACCTGTATGCATTTTTTTTTCTGCAAAACACATTATATTTTGAAGACTTTTGGTAACAAAACCGTTTTGGTTACATTGAGTTCCATTGTTAGGGTTAGGGTCTTAACACCAAGACATTTCTCAATATTTGAGTTCCACAGAAGAAAGAACATCAATAAAAATATAAGTACAATTTTGGTGAACTGTTACTTTAAATAACTTTCCAGTTCAAATTAACAGACAAACCTAACCCAGTGGTTTTATAAAATTATAAGCTTCATATTTCTTCATATAAAAATGTTATGTTTTGTAAAAAATTAATAAACAAAATGATTTGAAATGAATTGATTATGCCATACATGCTCTTGATTAAACTTAACTTCTATTCATTTAAAACCCAAATTAAAATGACCTATTAAATGTAGAAATACTGTGATGGATTTGTCAGAAGGTGGTGCTGTACAGTATATTAAAACTCTCAAACCACATTGCACCTGAAACACCCAAAATTATTTTTACATACCCATCAAACTGGTTAAACAGCCTAGAATGACAAATTAAAATGTCAATGTGTTTGAGAAAGATTAAGAGCAGATTAGATTGACAAGCATTTTAAATAGCTTTACATTGCAAAGTGGTAAATGTCCATTTACTGAAAGAATACATAAAAACAAATGTCCAACCATACTCTGACTTTACTTTTATTTTACATCAGAAATCACAATATTTCAGCATAAAACCAAAACTTAAAAGAGCAAGAGTAAGCAACTCTTTGAACTTCATAACTGGTTTTTGGCTTCACTGAAGGCTCAGATTGGTTAAACTCGTTGTTGTCAGGACTGCATAACAATAGTAACCGGGGTAACAGAGTGAGGATGATTAGGAGTGACAGTAAGAGGGTCAGAGTTTTCCCATTTGTCGATACAAGCGGGACGTATGCATGAGCCCGAGGGAGGGTCAGAATGACACTGTATCACAGGGAATGTAAACTACAGGGAGGAAAAAATAAAGAGATATAAAAAAGTCAAACACTCCCAGAAAGCAACCTAACACTCTTTTTTTCTGAAAAAAAACAACAAAAAAACATGTTTTTCATAATTTTCATAATTTAATTGTGGGTAAAGTTGACATCAAATTACAATTGATTAACACATGCATCATCCCATATTCCTCATAAACACAATTATTTGTCAGAAAACACAGCAGCATTATGACAGACCACATGTGATGTTGTCAGGCAAACCTTGAACCCAAAGCGTCTCATTTCAGTGCTGCCTGTGGAATGCTGGAGATCAACCCAAGCAAGATGTTCAGGTTAGTTAATCGTCGAATACAATTCTCCAGTGGACGCTGATGTGGTATTGTTCTCCATTTTCCTAACGCACACATACTCATCCACTTGGTTTTTCTTCACTGCACATCTGCTTTTGGCTGTTCAGCTTTTGGTTCCTCGGGTTTCGGTTGTTCAGCATTGAGTTCCTCTGCCTTGGGTTTTTCTGCTTGTGATTCCTTAGGCTTTGCCTCTGGCTCTTTGGTTATGTTACACAGTTTTCTTTGGAAAAGGAAAGGAGCATTGTTAAGAAATGGTAATGCTCAGCATAAATACTCTTTATTTCCTATTTAAATTAAATAAAAAAAAGAGTGTTTTAATTTTACATTTTAAAAGTTTAAATATGTAAATTAACCCAAATCCTCATTTAAAAGCTTCAGGTTATATAACATGCAGAGCTTTAACCCGTGACCCTTCAGCTTTCCACAGAATGACTGTCAATGACCAATCAACAGATTCTGCACCCATTTAATCACAACTAACATTATCTGACAGTTCCATGACTGGAGATCCATACCAAATAGCTCTATTACACAAATGTACTCACTTTCCCTCCTCAGAGGTCTTGTCAATGTACTTGCAAAGTGTGCTCAGCTGCTCCAGTTGTTTTTGTAGAGATTCAACCTCCGTTGCCCAATGGGACTTCTCCTTGACAAACTCACCTGCAAACAGAAAACAGAAAAAGGTGTGTGTGTATATATATATATATATATATATATATATATATATATATATAATAGTTTTTTTTCACATATATTTTGTATAGTATAGATTTTTATAATTTCTTGTACAATAAGATGAGGAGGTCAAATTAAACAATGAAAGCAAACAATGATAGTAACTAGTGCAATTATATATATTGTCAACACCTTGCACCACAGTTGTGCAATTCCAATACTCAACAATTACTTACAATATGCATCTTTAGCTGTTTTTATCCAGGCTTTGCATTTATTGCCACAGGGGGGCAGTATATTTTCATGGGCTTTATTATAAATCTAGCTAATATGAGTTACAATCAGTAGCTCTGTTTCTACCCTAAACTGTTACATTTGGTTAGGGCAAGTTGTTACAGATCTTCAAAATGTGAAATGCCAAAAATTTGTGTTGGAGGTCTGGAGCTTTCTGATGTTAAATGTAACAATTTCTGGATTAGAAAAATCCTTATTAAGAAGCTTAGTTGTCATCCTAAAGCATTTTATAAGTGGAAAATAAATTACCCTTTTCTTTCTACTATTAAAATATGGGCCGGTATTAACAAGTTTCTGTTACCTAACAAGATGAAAGAACTTTACTATAAAATTCTTAATATGTACTATCCCTGTAATTCTTTACTCTCAAAATTTAAGTTGGACATCTCTTCACAATGCACATTCTGTAATTCTAATTTGGAAACAATATCACACTTATTTTTTGAATGCAAGTATGCAAAGGATTTTTGGAAAGAAATGTCTTGGCTTGTTTTCTCGGCTTACAACAAACTTTTTAGTTTTGAGGTAATTAATGCACTATTTTTAATTTGGGAATCAGGATCAAAGGAGCTGGATGATATCTTAAAACTGTTAACTCTTTGTGGCCTATTTCATCTTCACAAATGTAAAGTTACTGATTGTATGCCCAATTTTAGGATTTTTTGTATTGATTTGAAATTATTTTCTGAATCTCTCTGCTCATCACTTAATAAGAAAGCTGCTAAAACTACTGTATTGATGGAAAAAATATTGACTTTGATGTAAGGGTTACCTCCTGTGTATTCTTTGAAGTTGACATTTTATGTGTAATTTTCCATTTAAGTTATTTTTTATTAAAAAAAATTTATGATTTATTTATAAAAAAAGAAAAAGAAAAGAAAGGATGTTTAACTTTTTATTTATTTGTTTTTGTTCTGTTTATATTTCATTTTTATTATTCTTTATATATTTATTGTTTTGTATTCTGGTTGTGTATGTAATTTATTGCTATGACTGTATCCCCTGTGAATGTTATATCTTCAATTAAAAAAAAAAAAAAAAAAGCTCTGTTTCTACCTCCATATTACTCTTAGTCAATATGGTCTTTAAAAATGTCCAAACTGTCTTCCTGTTAAAAGTGAAGACAAAGAGATGGAAACTCACTCTGGATATGTTTCTTCTCTGACTCTGCAGCAGCAATTTCATCTGTTAATCGTTTCTGAAGAAGAGAAATGGAAGACAAGTTAGGTCTCAGGTGGATATGATGGATGTAAATAGTTGAGAGCACATAAAAACAAAACATCAAACATCTCACATTCTACAACTCACCTTGTCTCCTTTACATGTATCAACGTCACTTTTTTTCTTCTCTACAAAGGTCTTGTCTACGGACAGGTCTTTGGTTAGTGTGTCCACCTCTGTTTTAGTCTTTTTTAGCAGTGTGTTGGACTGGGTCAGCTGATCCTGGTATTCTCCCAGAACATCTCTGGTCACTCTGAACTTAATATCTTGAAATGAAGCCTGTTTACTCAGTTGCGTCTCCTGCTTACGTCTGGAATGGATGTAGCCAGCGATACCCAGACTACACACCAAGAAAAAAGCCAACAGCAGTGCAGGAAACTTCATGATGGAGGACTCAGGCGGAAACTGGACCGGACTCACGAGCTGTCTTTCTCGTGCAGGTGTACAGATTATCAGAGTTACCTGTCGCTGAAACTAACCCCTCCCACAAGACACTAGCATTATGTTGAAGAGCAAGCGCTGTGTTTTCTCCGTGATATTAACACAGATTTTAAAATATTTTGTCACTTAAGACCAAGTTCATTCGCTTCCTTCCTGGTCTGGTGTATTTTTTTTTTTAACGATCGGCAGATCCCTGCTCACCTGAGCGGTGCTTGAAAAGAGTGGAGAGAGACGTCGCTACAGTTAACACAGCCCAACTATAGAAAACCACGCCCATTCAGGTGTTTTTCTTCTTCTTCGCCCATGCAGGTGTATTCATTGGTGTACACTTGCAGTGACGTCAAACTATGAAGACGTATGACGTGCGTCCGACTCACTCCTCCGAATCGGTTCTTTCGAACCGTTCATTTCAAAGAACCGGTTAAAATGATTCCGCATTTATTTTACATCATTAGCCTACTACAGAAGCCATATGTAGGCGGCCACGTTACTGTTTATTACGTTTTTCTCGATTATATTTGTATTACTGTTGTTGTAATTTCATGTGGCTCAGTTAAACTATGATTCAGCTCATGAAAAATGGACTCGAGGACGCAGGTGCCGACTGGATCTGTGAACCCGGTACCATCACGTCGCACGTTCATGTCGCCTATGATGCAAGTATTGTAAGACATCGAAGAAATTCTATTTAGCTACGTTTGAAACGTTCCACTTGAATTGAAATCCAAGTACGATGATGGACAAAATAATTTTCACATCTGTCGAGCCAAGCCTTCACAGTAGGGTAATGAAACATCAACGTACTAAGTGAGTATAGGCTACCTGGTCAATGTGGATGGGAAAAAAGGGGTTTTTCGATGCTCAGACGACATGCATTTTCACGGCATGTTGTTTAGGTCATGCAAATATGAATATCCCTGTACATCCTGTTTAACCACCTTTTAATGATTGACGAATTTGATGAGTTTTATAATGGCACACCTTCAGTCCCCTAGTTGAGTTTGTGAAAGAGATAAAGAAGGACTGCCTGTTATACTCTTTAATTGGAACAAACAACAAAAAAAGCTGAGAGCTGATGTGTGTTGTGCTATATTGGTTTTCTAGTTTGCTTTGATAAAACAAGGGTGGGTGGAGAGAGTGGAAAAGTTGGTCAGAGATCACTGCAACATTATCAAGGACACACACATACACATACACATGTTTGCTTAACCAGACATCCAGTTGTACAGGTAAGGCAGGCTTACCTGTTGCTGTCTTAAAGCAATAGCTTTTCAGGAAGACAGAAGAGGGAGTCCAGTCGGTTTCAGTCAACAGCATAGGCGCTGCTGCTATGAGAACCGAGTAGAGAGAGATAGAGAAGGAAAACAAAGTCAACTTTTCCCAGAGGAGCTCCTTTGGTCTACTCTACTTCTTTCTTCCTCCCTCAGGATGAGAGCCATATCGGCAATGGTTTTCCTGGCCTTATGTGCCCTACTGGTTATAATCTACCAGGCCGTACAGCAGGAGCTCAACATCCGCAACCTGAAAGCACGCATTATTGTTTCCGGTGAACAGGTGAAGTTGAAGGAGGATGGAATCATGGCAGCCAAGGTGAAAGTGGAAGAGATGAATAAACAGCTAAATCCTCTGATCACACAGAGGGATCAACTCAAAAAACAGAAGGACGACATTAAGAAAGGCAATGCTGATTCTGAAAAGGAATTAGGCACCTGTAATGCTGAGAAGGTAGTGTAAATCTCAAAGCAATAGAACTGTACAGTGATTTTCTTTCCATATTCTCTCTTTTAAATCAGAGTTAATGCATTTTGATTCATTCATTTCAGATAGATCACAAACTAAATTTAGTTTGATCTAATTTATTTGTACTGATTTTTTTCTCTGCCTTCACATGCAGCAGACCCTTTTTGAAAGACGTCTTTTATGCTCATCAAGGCTGCACATATTTGATCAAGAATACATTAAATATTGTGAAATAATATCTCAATTTAAAATAACTTTTTTTCTATTTTAATATATTTTAAAATTATTTGGCAAAGCTGAATTTTCAGCAGCCAGTACTCCAGTCTTCAGTGTCTCTAATATGCAGATTTGGTGCTCAAGAAAATTTCATATTATTATCAATGTTGAAAACAGTTTTGCTGCTTAATATTTTGTGGAAACTGCGACATTTTTCAAGATTCTTTGATGAATGGAACATTTTTTTGAAACAGAAATCTTTTGTAACATGAATGTCTCTACTGTCACTTCTGATCAGTTTAATGCATCCTTGCTGAATAAAAGTATTAATTACTTTAAAAAAGACAAATTTGAAAAGTAGTGTTCTGTGTGGCTTGTAGTATATCATTAATTTGTCAAACCACAGGACTGTTTAAAATGAGTGAATGCAAAAGGTAAAATGAAGGAAAAATTGATTAAACATTCAAATAAATGTAAATTTGTGCTTCAGTTATTCAGTCACCCATAGGCATAAGCAATAAACACAGTGTTTTAGGATCACAAGTTTATCCAAAAGATTAAAAAGATTAGAAAATATTAAAAAGATACACTCACTGTACCAGAAGCGAAATGAAAATTGCTATTCCAGTTTTGCAGCTTTTCATGAGTAATAAAGAACCAATAGGCAGCTTGCCAGTAGACAGATTAGGTTAAATATTAGTATTCCAGTATGCTAATTTGATCACATACATTAGTGTTTAAAAGTTTTGGGTCAGTACAGCTGTTTTCAACATTGATAGTAATATGAAAAGTTACCTGAGCACCAAATCAGCATATAGAATGATTTCTGAAGGATCATGTGACACTGAAGACTGGAGTAATGGCTGCAGGAATAAATTACATGTTTAATTATGTTAAAATAGAAAAGCATTATTTTAAATTGTAATAATATTTCATAATATTACTTTTTTTACTGTATTTTTGAACAAATAAATGCAGCCTTATTGAGTATAAGAGAGTTCTTTCAATAGCATTAAAAACAAAAATCTTATCCACCCCACAATTTTGAACAGTAGTGCAGATTTTAGGTTTCTATTTGCTCTATATATGGCTCCTAAAATACAGTACCCTTCATCTGAGTTTTCTGAAACAATAATGTTTCAGGTTTCTTTACTGTATTGTATTACATTCCTGCAGTGGACATTTGACTGCTTTTATGCAAATCAAGTGTTGTGACAGGTCTATTACAGTGTTCTCTGTTAAACTGAGCCCCATGCTGTATAACCCTAAGCATGTAAGTGCTTTCACACAGTCTTCCTCTGTCTGTCTCTCTCTCTGTCTCAGGGTAAATTAGAGAAGACGAGCAAAGAAGCAAAAGATGCACTTCAGAAACTAAAGGGTAAATATGAGTTACTCTTATTTCTTGGGTTTGATTGGAACTAAGGTATTCTAGTGTCAGAAGGTTAGTGGATATTAATGCTCATTGTCATCATTTTTGTCTCATGATCTCCCACTGTTGTTCTGCAGAAGACCAAGAAGTTGAGAGGAAGAAATCTGAGGAGGAGATTGAGGGTCTGAAACGGCAAGTTCTGGAGAGAGATTTAAGGATCTGCAAATATGTGGATGTTTCATTGGATGAGCCAAAGTAAGAGTGGTTGATTTGAATTTATTCCTTTGAATATGATGGTTACCTAAATGAACCCTAATAGACTCTTTTCACAAACTGTGATGACATGTTTCCACAGTTATTAACATTGTAAATCTGGCAGATTTTTTTTCTTTCATTTTTTAATGAATGTACATTTATAACAGTATATTTTGTTTTTTAATTACCTTGCCATTACATTTTTGAAAACGAAAAGTATTTTTACACAGTTGAGTTAAAGGGTTAGTTCACCCAAAAATGAAAATTAGGCTGTGTTTTACTCACCCCCGAGGCATCCTAGGTGTATATGACTTTCTTCTTTCAGACGAATCCAGTCAGAGTTATATAAAAAAATTGTCCTGGCTCTTCCAAGCTCTATCATTGCAGTCAACGTGTGTTGCAGTGCTTCAGTCCCAAAGAAGTGAAATAAAAAGAGCCCATCCATAAAAAAAAGTGTCTCACACGGCTCCGGGGGGTGAACAAAGGTAACCTGTAGCGAATCGATGCGTTTTTGTAAGAAAAATATCAATATTCAAAAAGTAATAATCACTTTAGTCTAGCTTGCGCTCCGTTGGTTTTCACGAGACTCACCGGCGCATGCGCAGCGCTGAACTCATACCTCATCAGCCCGGATCTGCTTCCGTGTACAACTGTTGGCACAAGCTAGATTAAAGTGATTATTACGTTTTAAATATGGATATTTTTCTTACAAAAACGCATTGATTCGCTACAAGAGGCCTTTGTTCACCCCCCGGAGCCATGTGTGAGACTTTTTTTTTATTTTTATGGATGGGCGCTTTTTTATTTCACTTCTTTGGGACTGAAGCACAGCAACACCCGCTGACTGCAATGATAGAGCTTGGAATAGCCAGGACGATTTTTTATATAACTCCGACTGGATTCGTCTGAAAGAAGAAAGTCATATACACCTAGGATGCCTCTGGGATGAGTAAAACACAGCCTAATTTTCATTTTTGGGTGAACTAACCCTTTCAGGCTGCAATGCCGCATAAAAGCCAGACTAAATTATGCCTAGATGTATTTACACTGACTCTTTAATGCTGCTCAGAGGTGGCATTACATGCATTTACAACTGTATAATTTGATACTTGGGGCTGAAGTGGGTCTGAGCAGGTTAGTTAAGCCATTAGGATATTAAGTAAAGATCATGTTCCATGAAAATATTTTGTAAATTTCCTACCTTAAATATATCAAAACATAGTTTTTGATTAGTAATATGCATTGCTAAGAACTTCATTTGGACAACTTTAATGGCGATTTTCTCAATATTTTGATTTTTTTGCACCCTCAGATTACAACTAGATTTTCAAATATCCTAACAAACCATACATCAATGGAAAGCTTATTTATTCAGCTTTCAGAACATGTATATATCTCACTGAATTTCAAGCAGGCACAGAGTGTAAATACACCTTAATATATTGGCTGAGGGAGTGATGAAAAATTTTACATCTTTCTCTCTTTTTTTCCCCCTAAACCTTATCATGGACTTTTTTTCTTTTTCTTTTTTTGTTTTGTTTCCTTTCACCACTATAGAAGTTAACTATGATGATTTCTGCTATAATGAGAACCCGGAAATGTGAAAAGGGTCTATAGTTATGCTGTTTTTAATGTCAAAGGTCACGAATCAGAATCTTTTTCACAAGTCTTTTTGCTTGTCTGTT